TACCAAAGGAAGATACAGGAAAGAATGTATTTGGGAACTGACAGCAGGAAGAGCTCTGTATTGTCTGCAAACTTCTAAAGAGAAGCACCAGGACAAAGTAGGGCTACATGATAAAGAATCCTACAGAGTCGGGATTGCATGTCGAATATTGCCGACAAACACATAAGTTGATAAATGCACAGCGAGGAAAAATTATAACAAATCATTTTCAAATAAATCAATTTATTATGTCTTTGTGTGTAAATAAATCGCATATTAGATAATATAGTAAATATACCGGTACAAAATGTTGACGGTTCAACATAGTTCTGCACTGTATGATACTAAACTTCCAGTCATTATTCCCGTCTAAACAATCTATTGAATCACAAACATTTAATCGGCATCTTTCTCGGAGATTACACATGTACTCAAATCTTACAGCGTATAAAAGTGTTGCACTACTAGTAACCAACTGTACACATGCCGTACCGGTAATACTTTTTTACATAACAAATTACATGAAGGTACTATCTCACCTTAATATCAACATATGAAATAGCTTAAAATGTCATCAAAACTGCCGTATAAAAAATGTAATGACACCGAACTTTCTACTTTCATTTTTTCCCACTGGTAAATGCTTCGCAAGGAATTTTATCTGATTTATACAAATCCACAAATAGAGACAGCGCCTTCGCCAATTCGTGGTCGCACTCCTCCAAGCACCTGAAAATATCAGCAACTACAACACGGAAATGGTAAGACTGTTGGTGATATTAAAAAGTATGTATTGGTAAAACGTTAATAGACTTAAATTTAACACTGATAAAACAAAATGTATGTCAATTAGGTATTTGACTTGTTTTCAGAGCGAATATTTCTTAGCATTCAGATTCGGTTCGCGCAAATGTTTTGAATGAACGAATTTCTTTGTATATGAAAGCTTGAAGACATTTCATCGATTCGATATTTCTAAACTGTCTACGGTTAGTAGAACTGGGGACAGTCTTCTCAGGCAGACACTCGGCTTCGATACTGCTTTTTTACGCTGGAACTGAAAATAAATAAAAAGTGCCCAGCCTTACTTCTTCGCCCAATCGGCGTTTAGACCGGTGATCATCCTGAGCGCATCATTGACCTGCCGAAATTCTCGCGCGCTTT